GCGCTCGGGAAAGAGGAGGAGCCAACGTGGCTGGCGCACAGGGAGCCTGGGAGGGAGACACCAGTGGGGTTCGGACACAGGAGCCACGGGAAAGAATTTGATTTTATTTAAGTGTTATTTGAACTCCGATGGGAATACATTGAAGTTTTCCACAGGGAAGTGGCACGAGCTGACTTACCTTTGAAAGGCCCCATTTGGCTAATCGTGGAGAACGGGTCCCAGCAAACAAGTGGAGGCAGAGAGGGTACATCAGCAGCGACTGGGGTAAAACTACTCAATGAAAGGCGATGGAAGTGAGAGGTGTGAATGGTGGGGATGAAGAGAAGCGGATGGACTTGGGATGTTACTCCTAGTTAGAAGCAATGGGCTTTGCTAAATAGAAGATGGGAGATCAAATATGACTCCTAGGACTGGACTGCATGCATCTGGGTGTCTGAGGATGGTTGTGGCCGTTGGCTGATATGCGGCAGACCCAGGAAGACAGGGCTGTGAGTAGGGTCAAGGCTTCTGTTTGGAACATGTTAAGTGTCAGATGTCTGTTAAACAGTTGGGTATCCAAGTCTCCAGGAGAGCTCAGGGAAGAGCCAGAGATGAAGACAAAAAACTGACTCAGCATATCGATACATTAAAAACCAAAGGGCAGAAGGAAATCTTCCCGGGACATGACGTGGGCAGGGAGGCAGAGGGCTCGGGGCTGATCCCAGAGGAGCGCTGCTGTTCAGACATCAGGCAGAGGAAGCCCTGCAGAGGAGGCTGAGAAAGAGCAGCTGGTGAGCTCAGAGGAGATGCCTCGGAACAGACTCCGTTCTGGCGCGGAATGGAAAATTCCAGACGAGTGTTATGTTACAGTCAGTGAATGTGTGATACATGTTTGGTTTTTGGTTTTACCATATAAGGAGGAGTGTCATGCAGAGGACCTTTTCTTACTGCCAGCCCTGCCTTACCACCTGCCCTGCTTGCAGAAGTCAGGTACAAAGTGCTGTTGGGAGAGTAAGGGGGTGTCACCTCACCCCCAACTGTTGAAACTCGAAAGTTGTCCTTGATCCCATTTTATTTGCCGCTTCCTCCCCATTTAAGCTATCAGCTAGTGGCTTCTACCTTCTGAGCACCCTGCATCCACGCATTTCTCACGCCCTCACTGCCACCTCCCTGTCGCAAACCATCGTCTTCTCATTCCTGGGCAGCGCGGGGCCAGACGGCTGCCCCACCGCTGCTCTGAGGGGTCATCCTTATGCAGCAGCCAGAGCGCTCTTCCTAAAATATAGCTCAGAATGTTTCTCCCCCTTTAAGCCTTCAAGCGAAATAACCTAAAAGACTATCAGTAGAGAACTGGTCAAATAAATACTGGTTAAAAAATGCCTACAGAATGGAATATTGTGCAGACTTACCAAAAAAGAAATGATCGTGAGAACGCTCTATCAGTAATGAGACAAACGATCTCTAGGACATGAAGTGAAGGGTGAATAGGATGCTACCATTTGTAAAAGAAAAAGGGGAGGGGAGAGAGAGTGTGTGATTGTATATGATGTGATATCTCTATCAGCAAACACAGGAACGAGCATGCCAATGGCTTCCAGAAAGCTTCTGGGCAGGCGGGGTGGGGGGGGAGATACTTTACCTTTTGCTCCTTCTGAATTTTGAATGGGAAGACTGTGTTATGTGTTCAACAATAAATCAATTAAATGAAAATGTTTACATGAATTAAATAATGAACTCTCTCATCTCACTTTCTATCTTCCTTAGAAAATCTAGTCTCCTCACTCTTCCCTGCAAAGCCTCACAGCGGGACCCTGCCCCCATCTCCGCTCTTTCTCACCCAGCTCCAGCCGCTCTGCCTCCTCTTGAACCTCCACGTGCCAAGCGTCGCCCCTTCTTGGGCATTTGCTCTTTCTGATCCCTGTACCTTGACCTCCCTCACATCCCTCCATGGCCACCCTGTGGTCTCTACTCTGAAGTCACTTCTTGGAGATGTCATCCCAACCTCAATATAAAGTTGCTACCTCTCACCTCCCATCTCTGAAAGCCCACGTTCTACTTTCTTCATGGCAATTACCACTGTCTAAAATTACTTTATTTACTTGCTTCTTGTCATGTCTCCCTGACTGCGCTCATATACCACCACAATCGGATGCCTGGCTCATCCTATAAGACACATGTTTGTTAGTGAATGAATAGTTTTCTATTTTTTCTCATGGTGGTCCTGACAGCATATTTATAATACCTCCTGTTTTGTTTCTTCACCGCTCATAGTGACAGCATATAGAGTAGAGTTCTAATCCTGGCTTCTCTTCTTCTTAGCTTTGTGACCTTGGGCAAGTCACAGCCCTCACCGGGTTCTGTAAAGATGAAATGAGATCTGAAGTAAACAGCGCCAGTTCTGGCCTCACTCGGTGATCATCACAGCCCAGGAATGACTGTTGTCCGTGTGAGGGCGAGAAGGTGTGCCCAGGTGGGGAAGTGACCTGCCCATGGTCATGTAACCTGGGCAGCAGGAGCAGGTGTCCACTCCAGGCCTCTGACTCCATGCTCAGCACCCGAAGAGCACAGCAGCGTTTTTCTTATTGTTTTTCAATCAAGAGCCCTTCCTCCCCTCTCCTAGGAATGGAGCCTAAGTTTATAATCAAGCACTGCGATAATTTCCCTCTTTAGGGGGAATTGGTCGTTTATCTTTTGATTTTCTTCTCATAAATGGTTGATATGCTCTGGCTTGGAAAACAGTACAGAGTTTCTAAACAACATCATCAAATTAAATGCGGTGACGCACTGACTTAGGAAAACGATTCATCTCGTTCCTTAAACGCAATGAAACGGTTGATCAGTTCTGCCTCTGCATGTTTATTTGTTATAACCGATAGAAACACCAACAGTGAAAGCCACAGAATTGAACCTGCCTTCTAATCTAAGTGCTGAGACACAAAGTCATTTTCCAGACATCGTGTTCATATGTTATTTTCTCAATTTAGACCACAGACCGCAGGAACAAGGGCTGGATTTGTAATGACCTGGAGGAAGCAGTGAATAACAGATCTGACGACAGATGTCACCAGCGCTGTGTTGCTCACAGAGCCACGGTGCCGCCTGGCATTTCAGTGCTTATGCATTTTCTTTGGAGTAATAAAATTTTTTTGCAAGAATGCAGTGCCATATTTTCAAAGTTATCTACCTCCTTGTGACACCACAGCTGATCTTTTTTTATCCTGCAATGACCTCAGGAAGTCACAAACATACTCTCCATTTTATAGATAGGGAAACGGGCTCAGAGTGGCCCCGCGTTGCCCAGGGTCACGCAGAGAATGATCCATGCCTGTCTGTCTCCAAAGCTGTGCCATCCAGTGTCACTATAAACAGTGCTCAACGTGTGCCATCCCTGGAGAGCACCTACCTTGCAGCCATCCTTCTGAGCCAATTAGAGCTGCTCAGATTAGGAATGTCAGACTGGAGCAGATCAATAGAGGAGAGTGGGCCGAGATGCTGAATTGAAATGAACAAAATGAAGGCACGAAGCTCCCAGAAGCAGAATCCCAACAGGCCCTCTAGCTTGCAGCTCCCGAGGCTAAGTCACTGACATTTGAAAAGCTTGCTCCTTAACAAAATGCGCACTCTATTTTCCCTTTCCGTCTCCTCCCTGTGAAGTAGCAATCAGCGTTGTCATTCATTCTTCAGGAAACCAGTCAGGGTGTGCCAGGGAGACTGCAACCGAAAACTTAATGTGTCTCCTTCCAAAATCTAGGGAACAAAGAAGCTGTTTTGTGCCCTTTGATTCACGTCAGTCTTTCATACTATGTGGAGAAAGTGTTCCTCTTGCCACCAAGGCCTGCGGGAGGTGGGGAGGCGAGAATGGAGGAGTGGGGGGCGTAGTGGCCATCCCAGCCTCCGTATTTTGGGGTGGGGGACAGGGGCGACCCTGACATTTACTAGTCCCTGCTGTGGGCCACATGCTTTGAAAATCAGGTCCTATTTAAACCCAATGACCCTGACGAGTAGCAATACCCCCCACTACCATTTTACAGATGGGTAACAGAGGGATAGTGGTCACATGGCTTAGCCGGGAGCCAGAGCCGGGACTGACAGTCAGGTCTTCAGCCGAACCATCTCATTCTCCAGCAAACTCCCACTCCTGGTGTTCCCAGCGCCAGCCCCTCCCCAGCCCCTTCCCCAGCGTGGATCATTGGAGACGTGACTTCCACATCCAGGTTCTGGTGTAGGCTGTGCCAGTGTCTGGCTAGGCAAGCATGGGCAGGCCTCTTCATCCCTCTGAGCCTCAGTTTCCAGTGACAAAACTAGGGGGCTGGTCATCATCCCAGGCTCAGATCAGACCATTCGGCACAGCTGCCGGGGCTCCAGCTGTCGTCGGCCTTGGCTTTGGACACCGGGGAGCACAGAATCTTAACTTGTCGTGGGGGCTGGCAGGTGCAGGCTTTGTAATCCACAAAGCACCATACACAAATAAGCTAATATTAAGTGATATTATTACTTAACTGAAATGTAGAAAAGGTTTATTTTCTTAGAATTAGCCTGAGACTGGGTTGGATTTTTTTTTTCAAATAGAACATCAACTAGGAAACTAAAGAAAAATACACCCACCAAAAAGCATTAAAAAAAAAGGGCACAAAGTTAACCAAAGGTAGATTTTGGGTCTCAGCTTTTAAGCTCCTTTGAGACTGGTGGATGGTTACATAGGCAAAGGGTCAGTGAAGGTCCGTATGTGGCTGTTCTGCAGAGTGTTGCTGCCGCCCTCTCTTAGCAAGGCTGCTTTCTCTCCTTGGGTGAAGGGCTTCCTCCTGTTCATTCATTAGTTCATCACCCATGGCTTTGTCCATTTGTTCATTCATTCATTCATTCATTCATTCATTCATTCATTCATTCATGTCATTCCTCTTATACCCAGCACTTTGCATTAATGGTTTTCCTAAGAAGGCACTTACAATAGCAGGTGACATGTAACATTCCTGTGTGGTCCTGTTTTCTCCACGAAACCAGCTCGGCTTCCCCCATCCTGGCTCTTCAGCTGAGGCCTCACATACATGATGCTAACACCCTCAGTCCAAAGGAAGGAGGAGAAAGAACCAGGCCACACGGGCAGATGGGAACCTAGGAAGGAGCAAGCCCGGTAGAGTTGGGGTGAATCAGAGGCTGGTTCTGATTGTGCTGGTCTGATACCAGCTGGATGGGCAGCTTGGTCTTCTGGAGGAGACAAGCAGCCAGGAACACCCTGCCCCCCAACCCTGGCCCAGACATAGAGCATCCTGGCCCATGGGTACCGGCTGGGGGCTCTATGTGCTGGTCATGACAGCTGGGGTCTGTACCCTTTGTAACTTTCACACATGAGGCTCTGAGGGCCTAGGGAAGTGCCTTGCTCAAGGCCCAGGGGCTCTGGGGTGGAGAGCAAACCCCAGGTGATTCAGTCTGGACTGTCCAGTCTGCCTTGGGTACAAACAGGGGGGCGGTTCACACTCCTGCGTGTTCTCCAGAAAGGCCCTTGAATAACGATAGCTTAACTCAGCATCTGCTATGTCCCAGGCACTGGGATTAATGCCCAGCAAATCCATGAGGTGGGAACTATCATTTTTTCCACCTTATATTACATTATACTATAAAATACCATATTATAAATGAGAAAAGGAAGCAATTTAAACTGAAGTTAGGGAAGACCTGCCTGACATATAAACAAGGAACTTGAGACCTAGACAGGGAACATGACTTGCTCATTGCCACAGAACTTTAAATGGACACCTGGAACCAGGCCTCTGAACCATCACGCTAGCCAGCCTCTCAAAACACGCTGCAGGAGCCTGGGAGGGAGTGACTGATGCTACTGGGGTGCTGGCTGGGGAGAGGGTGGACAGGAAGAGCTTCCAAAAGACACGTGAGCTGAGACTCCTCGGAGCAGAAGTCGACCCCCTGAAGAAGGCAGGCAGGGCCTCTGCAGACAGACGTGGTGGTCTGCTTCACTTGCAAAGGCCTGGGCAGGTGGAGGAGTGTGATCTGTGGGGTATGTACACAGGTGTGAGAGTGGCTACTGGTAGAGCTGGAGAGGAGTCAGCCGATCAGAAACTCTGGCTGTGGGGCCCGGCCAGCCATCTGTTTCAACACGTGCTCTAGGTGATGCTAACGTCCGCTCAAGTGTGAGAACCACTGAGCTGGGTCATCTCAAGGGGTCCGGGAGTAAACGCCCTGCAACCCCCAGTTCAGCCTCCTCCATGCCCTTTTGGCCTCAAGGTTGCTGGGGATTTTTCTCAATCTCCTGATTGGTCTTCTCCAGTTTATTCCACACACATACTCACTAGGTTGGCATAGGGGAGTGGAGGAGGAGATGGTTGGATTCAAAGTGTTCAGTTTTGAAAACAATGATCCAGGGGCCAGAAGCACTTCCACAGAGACATCCTAAGTAAGGATAGCAGTGTGGCCGGCTTGACCCACCCTAGGGCGTTGGTGAGTGGACACAAGCGGTCTCTTTTTTATTTTTTCTTAATCCTCACCCGAGGACATTTTTCCATTTTTTGTTCAGGTAGAGTGGGAGGGAGAGAGAGGAACAGAGAGAGAGAGAGAAACATCGATGTGAAAGGAACACATCGAGTGGCTGCCACCCGCACAACCGACCAGGGCCGGGGACAAACTGCAACCGAGGTACGTGCCCTTAGCGGTAGCCGAACCCGGGTCTCTCAGGACCGCAGGCCGACGCTCTAACTGCTGAGCCAAACCGGCCAGGGCACAAGTGGTCTCTTAAATACTCATTTCTGGCTCCATTGTCTCTGAGTACAGGCATCGGACCTCAAACAGATTAAGATGCAGTGACACTTCTAGGAATATACCCTAAGAAGCCTGAAACACCAATCAGAAAGAATATATGTACCCCCATGTTTATAGCAGCACTATTTACAATAGCTAAGATCTGGAAACAGCCCAAGTGTCCATCAGTAGATGAATGGATAAAAAAGCAGTGGTACATATACACAATGGAGTACTATGCAGCTGTAAGAAAGAAAGATCTCTTATCCTTTGAGACTACATGGAGGGACCTGGAAAGTATCATCCTAAGTGAAACAAGCCAAACAGAGAAAGACAAGTTTCATATGATCTCACTTATTTGTGGAATATAATGAACATAACAGTCTGAGGAATGGGGTAGTCCCAGAGACGTGGAAGTGGGGTACAGACTGACAATCCCCAGAAGAGGGGGTGGTGGGGGAGAGATAAACCACAGAACTTATATGCATGTATGCATGAACAGTGGACATGGACAACAAACTGGGGAAAGGGAGGGAAGGGAGGGGGGAATCAGTGGGGGAAAAAGGAGAAACATCTGTAACAAAAATTAATTAATTAAAAAAAAAAGATGCAGTGACAAAGGGGCGCCCTTGGGAGTGGGTGTGTAACCCATTCTACTTACCCTATTTTGGTTTTCTTCCACCTGATGTTATATTTATTTATAACATCAATATATTTATCTGTTTATTACATATCATTTCTCTCCACTAGAATGCAAGTTTCATAAAAAATTGAAGACTTTTTGTCCACCTCCAAAACCCCAGCTGCTGAAACAATACCAAACACAAGACAGGGACTGAATCTTTGTTGAATGAATGAATGAATGAATGAATGGATGGATGAATGAGGTCTTCATAATGTACTTGGCTGAAGTAATCAGCTTCATAGGGCAGATATAGACACAACTTTGGGATTCTTGCTTTTGGGCCAAGGATGAGGTCTGGGGCCACAATCTAGGTCAGAAGCACTTAACGATCATTCATTCATTATTAATATCAATATTCCAAAAATATCAAATGGGCCCCTAGTACAAGGTTTTAAAGTAGACACTAGCAATATAGTGATTAAGGTGGAAAATAGCAGTGTCCTGAATATCCTGGAACTTGCAGTCTAACTGCTATAAAATAATCACACATTGAGGTGTCCGTCATTCTTCTAATGGAAGACTCTGAGCTAGTTTGGATTATTGGGGAGAGCTTCCCTGCTTACCTGGGGAAGTGGAAGATGAGCAGAATTGTTGAAGAGGAAGACAGATGATGGGGGTGGGCATTCTAGACAGTGGGAGCAGCATGGACTGAAGTCCTAGGACAGGAGAGAGAAGCCTGGTGAGTGTGAGGGGGCAGAAGGAGGTCAGAGCAGCTGGAACAGAGAGAATAATGGGGAGGGTGACCTGAGGGATCCTGGGATGGGGATAGGGGGGCTGAGAGGTCATAATAAGGGATTTTGCCTTAATCCTTCATGACATAGAATTATTCAATTTTCAACTAGGATAATAGTAGGTACGTGGGTAGCATGGTCAGACTTTTGTTTTGAAAAAGCTCTCTCTGACAAATCATTTTGAATGCATATATTTAATTCAAATTAAATATAAATGGTGGGGCAAACGTAGGTTTACAGTTGTTTGTATGAAAAATAACACAAGAATAAATAAATAATAATACAAGAATAAACTCTGTGTTTCATGTACCCATATATATGGTGGGTAAGAAAGAACTCTGAGCCTGGAATGCCTAGGTTCTCACCCAGGTATCCTTAGGGAAATTAACCTCTGCCTTAGTTTTCTTATGTGTAAGATGAGAATAACAGTAATACTTACCCCATAGGGATGTTGTGAGGATTTAATTATTTAAAACATGTAAAAAAGTTTTGAACAGTATCTGACTCACAGTGTGTATTCAATAATGTGTTATTTTTTTGTTTTTGTTTTTTTAATCCTCACCCGAGGACATTTTTCCATATTTTGTTCAGCTAGAGTGGGAGGGAGAGAGAGAGAGAGAAACATCGACGTGAAAGGGACACATCGAGTGGTTGCCACCCGCATGACCCAACCAGGGCTGGGGATAAACTGCAACTGAAGTACGTGCCCCTAGTGGGAACCGAACCCGGGTCTCTCTTGACCGCAGGCCAATGCTCCAACCGCTGAGCCAAACCGGCCAGGGCATGAGTTATTATTATTGTTAAGTTTAATGTTAATGGGCATTGTTATCTCCACTGAACAGATAAAAAACTACAGTGCCAAGAAGTTAAAGAACATGTCCAATGCTGTTAGGCAAAAAGGAAGAAACAAAATTCAAATCCTGTCTAACTCCTACATTATCAGACATCTCAGCAGTCAAGATGACAGTAACAGCTGAAGTAGGTCAATTCTTGGTGCAAAGTTTCAAAATGGATCTGGAAAGTTTATGGGGACAGACTAAAGGGTGAACAGTCCTAAAGTAATTAGCTACCTTGACAATAGGCATCCATTTACACACACACACACACACACACATGCACGCACGCACACACCAGGCTAGAATATTGAAATAAATTAGAGCATGAATCCTGTTTTAAAGAGATCAAGTCTAGAGGAAGAGATATGCTAGTAAACAGAAAAAAAAACACAAAAGTAAAATAGGTGTTGTGTTCAAATGCTTTGTAAGGTAGGTCTTATCTGATGCTACTTTGATACATGAAGAAAGCTTTCTCTACTAGCCTTAGCTCAGGCTTCATTAAGTGTAGGACCAATCCAGATGCTATTGCCTACAAGTAACAGAAACATACAACAATAGAACTTTTTAAAAACCTCAATAATAAGAAGTCAGAGAAGTTCGTAGGCAGGCATCGCCAGGGTTGGCTAAATCAAAAAACCATGTTCCATCTTTGAAACAACTTCAGGAATGGTGGCATGAAGGGCTCTGCAGACCATCTTCCCTGTGACACCAACCATAACTAGTGAAAATTATTTTCTTAGAGAAAAACCCACTGAAAGTCTTTAGAAAGTGTCTTATGGACATATAGCAAATGAAGAAACATTTTGTGATAAGAACTGCAAAATCCATGCCATTTGAGGGATCCACAGTTTGCTTCCTTGCCGCTCTTCCAGTTCACTACCATGAAGCTCTGCTTTAGGTGAGTGCAGATAAGAACACAGGACTCCCTTTTCCCCTAGATCCCTACTGAGGTCCAGAGTACTGCAGAGCACCTGTAATTCTCATCCCTAGCTCCATGATGCAGAAGCTAATTCTAGGCAAGAGTGGCTAAGAAGGCTGGGGTCCTGATTGCCCTCACTCTAGCTCAATCATAAGGCAGAGGTTCCACACCAGGAGAAGCAAATCAAGAAGGCCAGAAGCTATGACCCAACCCAGCACTGTTATTACACAGCCGGGATATTACTGCAAGAGGAGCAGGCTGCTGGGGGAGTAGTACAGAGATTTTGTTCCAGGGGGAGAGGGAAGCCTAAAGAACAGAAAACTCTGAAGCTTTCCCTAAAATAACTGACTTTATTGGGAACATAATGAGGAGAAGTTCAAGTCTGATGGTACTCTCAAAAACTACGAAGATTTTGGTGTCAGCAATTACAAGGAAGTTGGTAGCTCCTTAAAAACAAGAACTAAACCTTAGAGCACCAAATAGTTTAATAGAGATAGTCATAAAAAGAGACTGTTAAGAATAGTCCCCCCCCCCCCTTTCCCGGGATGAGAACAAGCCTTAGAGACTGGCCTTAAAGATCATTCTTGCAAAGGGATCCATCCAAATTTTATTGGAGCAGATTGTGGCACAATTTATGCTCCAGGGCATTGTCAAAGACAATAGAGCAATCAGTCATCAATTAATGAAGGTGGACAGCCAGGTGTGATACCAAGAGAGACAGACAGCTTAATATATTTGTATCTGATTGGCATCTTCTTCTGCTCTCATTTTAGATTCACACAATTAGCTTCTGTGGTTCTCAGGCCTTTGGACTCAGACTGAATTATACTAGTGGCTTTTGTGGGTCTCCAGCCTGCAGATGGCAGATCGTGGGATGGCTCAACCTCCATAATTGTGTGAGCAAATTCCTCACAATAAATCTCCTTTTGTATGTCTATACCTCTATCTATAAGTTTTGTTTTTTTCTGGTGAAACTAATAAAAAATATGAGTAGAATAAAGAACCAAAACCACACGATAATCCCAAAAGAGGCAGAAAGGTGTTTGACAAACTCCAATACCATTTTGTGATTTTTAAAAAATCAACAAACTAGATAAAAGGGAATTTCATCCCCTGATAAAGAGCATCTATGAAAAATCCAGATCTGGAACTTCCGGTCAAGATGGCGGCATAAGTAAATGCAGTATTGCATCCTCCCACAACCACATCAAAGTTACAACTAAACTACAGAACAACCATCATTCAAAACCGCCTGAAATCAAGTTGAATGGAAGTCCTACAACTACGGAACTAAAGAAGCAGCCACATCGAGACTGGTAGGAGGGGCGCGGAGGCACAACAGGCTGGTCCCACACCCAAGTGTGGCAGATAAAAGTCAGGAGGGTACCTCAACTGGGAAGGTCCTCCCTGAGGACTGAGGGGTCCCTGTCCCACACCAGGTGCCCCGCTCAGGGTTCCAGTGGCAGGAAGAGAATCCCCATAACTTCTGGCTGGAAAAACCAGCAGGAACTGAGGCTCAGGGAGGCTGAGGCAGCTGGAGCCCCAGGCAGCTCCTTTTAAAGGGCCTGTGCAGGGGCTTATCAGACTCACTCCCTGTAAGCTTGGAGGGGAGGCAGCTCGAGGGGCACCAGAGACATACAGGGAAGAACTGAGCTGTTTGGCACTGGAGCGAGGGCTGGAGAGGGGGCTTTCTCCAGGATAAACGTGCTGTCAGAGGCCTTTGTTCCTTTGGTGAGCCCTTCCTTCATGAGGCCGGCAGACAGCCGCCATATCCGGGACTCCAGCAACCTGGCTCACACTGTTTGCCCCGTCCTGGTGATTCCCTGAGGCCCCGCCCCACCCAACTTTAAGGCCCACTCAAGCTGTTGCCAGTTGCTTTACCATAGGGTTGGCCTGTCTTGGATCCTGCTTCAGGTTTTCCTAAATTCTTTCAAACAAGCAGCATCTGGTCTCAGCTAGCCCCATACCTCTCGTTAAACAATACATAGAAACAAACACAGGGAGGCAGCCAAAATGAGGAGACAAGGAAACAGGTCCCAAATGAAAGAACAGAACAAAACCCCAGGAAAAGAACTGAGCAAAATGGAGATAAGCAACCTAACAGATGCAGAGTTCAAAATACTGCTTATAAAGATGCTCAATGAACTTAGTGAGACCCTCAGCAAACATAGTGAGGGCCTCAAGAGCATAAAAAAGGACCAGTCAGAAATGAAGGATGCACAGTCAGAAATGAAGGAGGCACTACTGAAATAAAGAATAATTTACACAGATTCAATAGTAGATTAGGCAAAGTCAAGAAGCAAACCATCGATTTGGAATATAAGGAAGCAAAAAACACCCAATCAGAACAGCAAAAAAATAGAATCCAAAAAATGAGGATAGTGTAAGAAGCCTCTGAGACAACTTCAAGTGTGCCAACATTTGCACCTTGGGGGTGCCAGAAGGAGAAGAGAGAGATCAAGAAATCAAAAACCTAATTGAAACAATAATGGCAGAAAACTTTCCTAACTTGGTGAAGGAAACAGACATACAAGTCCAGGAAGCACACAGAGTCCCAAACAAGATGAACCCTAAGAAGTCCACACCAAGACACATCATCATCAAAATACAAAAAGTTTTAAGACAAAGAGAGAATCTTAAAAGCAGCAAGAGAGAATTCCAAAATGGCGGCAGAGTGAATGGAAGCTACATAGACCATCTCCCAGGACCAAACTGGAATTACATCTAAAATAAAGACAAATTGTCAGGAAAAAGCAACAGAAAAGCAGCCTGCAAAGACCATATAACTAAGGACACTGACTTGATCCTGGTAGGATTGCGAAGGCGCGAGAGGGGGGCTGGGAGCCCAGGGACGGCAGTAGTATTAGCTGCGAGCACTGGCCTCGGGTTAAACTCCCAAGCGGCTCCTCAGCCCAGAGCCGGGACAGACGCTAAAATAGCCACAGCCACTCACCTTATGCTCTGGCAGAGGGAGGGCGACTGGACTGGAACTGTGTGGGGATGCTCAGGATCTGGAGAGCACTCAGAGCTTTTGCTGAGTTGCAGCCACGCAGGACAGTGGCCATCTTACTCCTTCCCAGGGCTCTGGGGAGAGGCGGCAGCCCCTCCCTCAGAGATTCAACCCCATCCAGGTGGGCCATTGAAATGCAAATTGAGGCTCATTAACAACC